ATGTCAGTAGAACAGCCAGGATCAGCCCTGGGATGAGAAGGAGCCCTTGACTCCTCTGGGGGACAGCCAGGTCACATCTAGTCTGGGATCCTCCACGGGCTGGCAGAGGGAGGGACTCCCCACTGCTCCATACTGGCTGCAGTGCCGCTTCCTCCAGCTCCCTGTGACAGACTCGTCACACTTTCTCTTTTGAGGCTGTGAGGGGCCAACCAGCCCCAAAGCCACTGTTGGCCTCCCGCAGACCCCGAGGTAGGCCCCTGGCAGGGGGGTCTTCTCAGCACGGGCTGGGCTTCCAGCCAGAGCGCGCTTCCCGGGCTTGGAAGCTGGAGGTGAAGCTCGCGTGAGCCCTAGTGTCTGACAGAACTGGGACTGGGCAGCTCCCCGGGGCCCCCGACCTCCAGGGCGCACAGGGCCCGAGGCAGGGACAGGACTCAGAGAGAGCTGACAGGGCAGCAGGCTCCTAGGAGAGGCCCAGAGGAAGGCCAGGCTGGGGAGGTCCTCCTCATCCGCACTGGACCTGCCCTCTGGCCCCAGAGTCTCAGCAAGAAGAGAGGTCTCTCTGGGAATGGAGGCGTCCCTGGGTCCCAGTCCAGAGTAAGCCTGCCCGTGACCCTGGGGAGGAGAGGGGACCCCTTGACCCCTGAGTGGTGGGTACTCCTGACGTCCTGAAGAGACAGCAAACTCCTTGGTCCTGGACACCTTGACATCTCCTCGAATGTGCCTTTGACAGTCCTTGAAGTCAGTCTCTGGTGGGTAGGCTTTGTCATTGACCCCCAGCTGGGGGCCATGGTCACGCCTCTGGGCATATTGGCCAGCTGCAGACTCAGAAGGACTTGGGTCCAACAGGGGAGCGCCGTGACTCGGGGGTGCCTGCCCATCCTCCTGCTCCTCCGAGGCCAGGAGTCGTTTCTCTACCAGCTGGGGGAAGAGAGGGACAGTGACTGGCTCTGCACACAGGTGTGCGAGGAGGAGGAGCATGGGTGATGGGACAATGGGATTGGGGGGAAGGGACCAGGGTGACACCACGACTCAAATCCAAAACAGACATGTGGCTCTCCTGCCATCCCCTGGGCCATATTCCCAGCTGTGTGTCCTTCCCTCCCTTTCCCTTCCACCCTCTCCTTCCTGTCACCCTCTGCTCTTCATAGTCCCCTCCTCTTGTGGTCCTGCACTGCACCCACCCCAGGGCTGGCCCCTTGGCAGGCCACGCCTACAGGCAGGGGTGGCATAGACAGACTGCTGTGTGCCCCTGTTGTGGGTTGCTCCCTGCCCTGGTTTCCCAGGGTGCTCCTTCCCATGGCTCACCTGGGGTCCCCCCACCCCTGATCCACTTGGAGTCCCTCCCACCCTGACTCACGTAGGGCCTGTCCCTCCTCTAACTCACCAGGGGTACCACCATCCCCTGGCTCACCTGGGCAGGAGTGAGTCCTGCTTCCTGCTCCAACTCCTCAGCTAGGGCCAAGAGCTCCTGTTGTGCTTCTGGGGAAAACAGTTGTTCCTGGAGGTGGGAGTCAACGAGCACCTCCACCTGGGACAGAAGGAAGAGGCAGTGAGCACCCTTGGCAGGGAGTATTCAGCAGGACCTGGAGGACAAGTGAAAAAGCGAACAGCCACCCCATCCTCTTGCACATGCTGGGTATTATACTCCATCACAGTCTTCAGAGACACACACACACACACACACACACACACACACACACACACACACACACCCCTAGCTCAGAAACAAAAAACAGAGTTCAATCCCATCGGCCTGGGCAGAACCCAGTCCTGGGTGCTGGAGTGCCACCCTCTGGAATCTTGTAGGCCCCGGAGCTCTGAGCCAGCCCACCTTGGTCATGAGGTCTCCCTGGGAGCACAACCAGTCCAGGTAGCTCAGGAGATCCTCTCCCTGCTGCGACTCCTTTCTGTCCTGTTCCCATTCTCCACCTGGCTCCCCTGCGGCTGAGTGGCCCAGCCCCAGCAGCTCGTCCATGAGGTCCATGTACTCCTGCACGGCCGCGGGAGGGATCCCATTGGGTGACTCGGTCTCCTGGGACCACTGGGGTGTGCGGGCTCGCTGGGCCGTGGGTGCAGCCTTCCTGGGAGTGGGAGCTGGGCAGAGAGGGAAGAGGAGGGGGGTGAGGGGATAAGGCTTCCACCTCCTGAGCACTCGANCAGGGCTTCCACCTCCTGAGCACTCGATGGCAGTGTTTGGGGCCAGAGTTTGGGCAGTGTTTGGGGACATTAACATGGGTGTGGCTGGGTCAGGACCACCTGAAGCCATGTGACCCTGTGAGGGGAGAGGGCCGAGGGGAGCATCCAAGGGAGTCATGTGTGAGGACGTGTGGAACCACCGATTCTCCAAGGGCCCCCCACCCAGCCCGCCTCTCAGCAGACTTTCTGTTGGGTCCTCTGACAGGGAGGTGGGAGAGGGGTTAAGAAAGTTGACCAGGTCCAGAACCCATGGTGACAAAGGGCGGCTAAGGCTCTGGCTCTCAGGGCTGTTTCAGTTGAAAGACCAGAGCCCCTTGAAGGAAAAGAACTGATGTGGTGGGACAAGGGCCTGCCCTAGGCCCTGTTGCTTTGGCCAGGGGTCCTGGGGGATCCTGCTGGCGTACCTGGCTGTGGGCCCACCACTGGGGCTCGGGGCCCCCGAGGATCAGGCCTTGGTGGGGCTGGAGGAGGCTGTCCCTGCGCCCCCTTCTTTAACTGCAACTTCTGAAACCGCATTTCCTCCTGCGCCTCGAACTCCATGAACCTGGGGGGTGGGGGGCACGGGCTGAGCTGAGACGGAGGCCGCCGGGGCGCAGCGCAGGCAACAGCTGATGGAGGGAGGGGAGAGCCAGGGCCTTGGGGCTGTCAGGGCCGGGCCACCGAGGACGCAGGAGGCGGGCTGGCGGGGCACATGCCCTGCACAGCCCCTCTGGGTAGAGTCTGACCCCACTGGGCTGGGCACCTTCGCCCCAGCCTGTCTTGGGCCTTCATGTCCAGCCAAGGAAGGGTCAAGATCAGAGGAGGGTGGAGCTCGCGGGGGAGGTAAGACAGAAGCACCCGCGCTCTGACGGTGAGGGAGAGCCTTCCCGAGGAGAAGGGCCTCTGGGCTGGGAGGACCGTGTGCTGGCCGCCAGCCCTCCGCCCAGCACCCTCTCTGAGGAGCATCATCACAGCTGGACCCTGCCCTGCAGTGGGCCCACCACCCACCGCAGTCAGCTCCCCTGCCCACAGCTGTTGGGAACAAGGCCCCTGACTCACTTGTCTGCCATCTCGTGATAGATCCTCCTGTCAAAGTTGCTTTTGCCCTGCCACGCGTGCACGGCCCGCCACATTCCCTCCTCCAGCGCCATGGTGGGCTTCAGGCGGGACAGGGACCGCAGCTCTGGGCTGTGTGTAATGCCTCAGGGTCAGTCCGGGGCTACAGCCTGCCCTCCACCCGCCTGACCACCCGAGCTCTGAGGAGCACATGTCCCCAGCCCTCCCAGCATGACTGAGCGCTGGCCGGGGTGGGGGAGGCGTCTGTGTGTGAAAGACAACCCGTCCCGGCTACTGTGGTTCCTGCCTCACATTCGCGCCAGCCATGAACCTGGACTCGAGGCTGACCGTCCACTCCCACCCTATAGCTGGGACACCACCCACAGACCTTCCTGCCAGTATCCCGGGGTCAGCCAGCCTGCACGCCCCTCCCACGTTCCTCGTTGAGGTGAGAGCTCCAGGTGAGCCCTGCGCCCTGCCCAGGGCACTCACATGAGAAAGCAGGAAAGAGCTTCCACATCAGGACTCTGGGGAAGGTGCTCCCGGGCCAGGGCCTTGAAGCACTGCCAACGTCGGAAGTTCACGTACACACTCTTGGGGTTGCAGGAGTCATCTGGCGAGGCCTTGGACTGGGAGGTGGCCAGGCCACCTTCCCTGGAAGCCCCATGTGGCCGTGCCCCAGGGTTCATCGAGGTCACGATGGGGGCCAGCTGGGCAGCTGGTGGTGGAGCTTGAGCTGGAAGGCCGGGACGCCAGCCTCCTTCGCTTGCCTGGGTGCCCCCAAAAGCCGAGGCAGACATAATCATCTCCACCACAGAGTCTTCCAAGAAGAGGGGTGCAGGACATGCAGCACCTCCACAGAGGGCCCCTGGAGTACTTCCGTTGAGGGGAGCATGAGTGAGGATAGTGGTCTGAGTCAGGGGGTCTGTGGTCGCCCCTCTTCTGACCTGACCTGGCTCACAATGTTGTAAGTCCCAGTCCCAATGGGGCCTTGACCAGCAACTCCTGCCACCAGAGGTGCCCTGGGCAAAGCCGGCAGCACCGAGGGGCAGCCAGGAGGGAACGACAGGGTCGTGAGTAACTGCAGATGCTGCTCCCAAGATGGCCTGTGTGCAGGGCCAGTACTGGGCGCAGGAAAGGCCTGTGCTGTGAAAGGAGTGGTGGAGGCGCCAGGGTTCAGGGGCACATCCGCTCCCCGCACTGCAGATGCTGTTGAGACAAAGGGGATGGGTGAATGGAGCAGGACAGCCAGCCAACGGGACTGAGGCGCTCTGGGTCCCCTTTAGCCACCGGGAATCAGAGCAGTGAGTCTCAACACGAGGGCCATTTGGACGGGGCAAACTGTGGAACTGGCAAATATCCTCCAGTCACTNGTTTGCAAGTGTCCTCAAGTCACTGTCATGCTCTGACCTCCAGGTGAGAATTGTGCCCCTGGAGAGCCCGATCCCTGACCACTGTCTGTGAGAAGGATCAGCCCAGCCAGCGCTGACTGAGAGCCTCCCTAAGGACTCCCGGGCACTCGGCCCTGCCAGCCTCAGAGACTGTCCCCTAAGACATGGCACTGGGCAGAAATCCGACCTGTGGGAAACAACCTTACACTAGCGGTAGTGACCTTGTCCAAGGTAAGTTCTAGGCCCCCAAAGGGCCTTTGAGAACAGGCAGTGTCTGGAATATTCAGGCCCCACCTCCCCAGTCTTCCTTTTCCTCGATGTACAGCACTCTCTTCCCCCCTGGTCTTGCACAACAGCACAGAAACTCCTGAGTAATAGCTGTGTCTGCACAAGAAGGCCCCAGGCACCCTGACCTAAGCCTTGAACACACCAGCCCAGCAGGCACCTGAGTGTCAGAGCCAAGAGCAGCGAACACTTAACATGGGCCAGGTTCTGCCGCTCCGGCCCCAGCGCTCAGACTCAGGGCCGCCCTCAGGAGCCCTGTTCCCGGGAGAGGTTTCTGTGAGGTAGGCCTGTGTCCCTGAGATTCTGTCATTTCACAGCCAGCAATGGCTGCAGAGAGTAAGAGAAGGGCCAGTGAATAAAAAGCAGGGGGGGCTGTTGGTAGAGATTTCCAGAAACTTCCATAGCTGCTTTCATGTTAGAGTAGTCGTGTGACTGCAGACTGCCTGTGGTCCTTCCCCTCCCAGCTCCCAAAAATGGAAAGTGAAGGTGCAGTAAGAACCAGGTGTGAGCCTGGTGACAGTGGGACAGCAATGTCTGGACACATCCCCGCTCAGAGGCACTCAAGCAGACCCATGTCCAGGGGAACAAGCTACACACCACGTGCCCCTAGTTGCTCAGGACAGGCGTCCTTGGACGTTCACTAAGGACACAGGGGAGCACCTTCCTGCCTCTGTGCTACTCCCCTCGCCCCCTTTCAAAAGGGAACCGCCTTCACCGACCTTCCAAGGGAAACCAACCACGCTCCACATCCGTTTTGTGTCCCTGAAGCAGGACCTGGACTATGGGCAGAGCCCTCGTCTCAAAGGTAAAAGGCCCGGCAGGGGGTGCGCCCTGAGATACACGACAAGGGGAAGTGGGTCTGAAGAACTGAGCTGCCACAATGCGGGAACAATTGGGGACAACTCGGGGGCACCGAGCCCCATGTTGGTGGAAGTTACCCGCTGCCCTGCCCCTGCGGAATCCGAGACAAGCAGCAGCTCCCTGGGCTGAGAAGTGAGCTCTGGGCTGGAGGCAGTGGAGGAGCCCTGGGCTGCAGCCGGTGGAGGGCCTTCCAGCCCAGCCCTCGGGGAGGTCATTTCATTGTAGACTTGGCCACGGACCGCCCCACTGGACAGCTTTCTGGCTAAGACCCCTCTTCTCACTGCCCCCATTGGCTCTAGCACACTCAGCTCGCACCCCTTAGAGAGAGATGGTGGGGCAAGCTCCAGGAGCCTGAAGAACAGCACAGAGGACTAGGCTTTCCCGTGACCCTCCCTGTGCCACCACCACGACATAACCCACCACTCCCTCCACACACACATGTCCAAGTGGCTTGTCTCCCCTCTAGAAAGAATCCATGTGCCTGCTGCCGCCCCTTCTCCACACCCAGGAATTTCCCCGGAGTCACCCCGATCCACCTCTGAGGAGCCCTCCTGTCCAGGGCTGTCACAGGTTTCCACTGGCTCCCAGCCTCCCTGGGTGACAGGTCCTTGGA